CATTCTAGGTAGACGTGTACCAATTCCAGTCAATACCTATTCCTGGAATTGACACGGAATTCACTGAGTTTGATTTTTTAAGTAAAAAAGTTTTTTTTTTGAAAAAAGAACAATCTTTTATAAACGTTGAAGAAAGTAAATCGAAGTCAGGTTATCAGAATCTAACGTTGGCTTCTCAAAATTTTGAAATTGATTCTTTTCACGAGAACACGGATCTTTGAGAAAATAACGATTTTTTTCCAACTTTGATCATTGGTGGTGGTGGTAGTGGGGAGGGGGGGAGTCAGTTTACTTGATCAGGGAATCAAGTTCAAAATTTCGAAAAACCGACTTCAGATTTGGATACCCCGACCTCGATTACCTTCGGTTAAGCCTTATTAAATATCATTATTTCCTCAAAGAATCCGTTCTTTCGTGAAAAAAAATCAAGTTCGAAATTTTCAGAAACCCACTTCTGATTCTGATTCCCCGATCCCGACTTACTTTCGTCAAGGTTTCTACAAAATCGTTCTTTTCTAAAAAAAGACCTTTCGTTACTTAAAAAATGAAACGCAATCAATTTCAATTTCAACTCCAGTTAACTGCAGATAATTCCAAGCCAAGAGTCGGAATTGGGACTTTGGAGTTGGAATTGGTACATGCTTAATTTCAGATGGTGCTTCTAGCTTCCCTGGTATTGTTTGCACCATCTGAAATGCTACAGGTAGCATATTCGGATAGAATTCTAAGCAATCCTAGAGAATTCTTAGAATTCTAAAAATTCATACGGAATCCGTAGAACTCAGGGTTCTTGGATTCCGTGCTTTCTCCCTTGTAGAAATCACTAGAAATAGCCAGGAAACGGATAAATGATTAGAAATCAAGAAATCAGTTTGTTCCAAGTTGTAAATAATATAAACTTATTTCTGATGATTTCCAGTGATTTCTGGTGATTTCTCATGATTTCTCATGATTTCTTTGATTTCCAGTGATTTCTTTGATTTCTAGTGATTTCTGATGTTAGAAATCAGTTTGTTCCCCCTTGGTTTTATGGCGAGCTAAATATTAGAACCATAAATACAATTTAGAATTAACATATTTGATCGAATAATCGTCAATGAATTTTCTGATTCAATTAAACTCTTCAATACCTCAAATAATGCTCAACACGCATTTGAAACACACAATAAAGATAAATGGCGTACATTTTCGTTACTTTTTGACGATAAATATCGAGTGATCGGTTCAAAATCATGCCAGACTACATCATTTGCCAGAGACTATGGTCGCGAACATGAACAAAGAAGAATTTCGATCTTTTTCAATGTACATTTATCCTTAATAATCATGTGTTTAATAATATTAATATTGGATACTAATCGAAATATTTCACTTTGTCGCATTGATTCAGAATATGCTCCATTAAGACTTTCAGATTTGATTATTGATGTATCGATATTTGGTGCAAAATGTAACAATTCACAAAATTTTTGAAAGGAAAAACGATTGGTATCCACGACAATCTTTGTAAGTTGTTGTAGAGAGACAATATGATTAAGAATTGATGTAAATGCTCGTGCTCCTACGCAGAAATTATCATAGAATGCCATATAAGTAGCATGTGGAAAATAATTGATACAACTATTTATTATCTGTTCACCATAGATATAAACATGACGAACTGAATTAAGATTTGTTTCTTGATGAGGTGAACGAGTATTTTCATCCATGTTGCTAACTAATCTGTAATCTTTTCTCCTTTAAGAAAAAACACACTATTGTCGATGCCAGAAGCAAAAGTATTTTTTGAATAACTCTCTATAGAAACGAACTAGAGACCAGCGGTATCCACTATTCGAAAGAGGGATGTCAGAGGTATAGAATCTTAAGAAAACGTCACGAGTCAAATGTTGAACAATTAAAATCGTATTTCCCAGACGTTTAATGAACGACTTTTTAGAACGTAAGTTCAAATGAAAGGAAATTATAATAAACTCATCTGATAGAAAAAAATGTGCTCTTTCGATCTACTCAAGGCAGAGCTCGCTAGCTCTAGGTTAGCATAGGGGTAATGGAGTAGCCTAAATTCAGTAGCCATCTTTGTTTTCAATTTTAAAGCAATCTTAAGTCATCAGATGAAGATTTCTGTTATCCATGATATAAGTACCATATAGCAACAGAGTGTTGACATATAATAGATTGTTGATAGAATGACTTCAGATTGCTTTAAATTAAGAACAATTGTTCACTAGCTGAATAATGGTGTTTATCTGAGATTTTGTCTCTGACATTGCGCTTTCGAATTATGAAAACTGTAGGTCGCTAGACTATTTCTATTACCTGTATGGATTTATTGAATAGAAAATTCCAGTTCGATTACCATATTTCGAAGCTCATCGATAATCAAAGAACTATTTTTATTCGAATCAAAATTAAGAATTGAATTGATTGACTAACGAATCATATATCAGTTGAGCATTAATGAAAACTATTGAATATACAAATTGAATATCAAAAATACGCAAATATGGAAGATGATTTAATATTAATTGTCTCCATCGTTGGGCATTTAAATGTTCTGAACTAGCATTGTTCGAAATATGTAAAACTTGAATTTTATGACAAAAATATTTGATCAATAATTCTAATAGATCGAAATCAATATGCTAGAGATCAAGAGACACATGTGTGACATTTTTCGGTAGAATTATTATATCTGTTGATGCATCGCCATATCCAACAAAAGATTGACACGATAAACGACAAAGTTGAGGATCATAAGATAAAAAACGATAAAGAACATTGAGTTGAATACTACATCTGATGATAAGATGTTCAATAGAACTGTATTGATTAGTTGCCATCGGAATCGATTCCAATTGGTAGTTTTTACCAAATGATAATTTACAATATTTTAATACAGGTAAACGAAAGATTTGAAGATAGAAATCATTCGGATGGTCAACCATATCCATAAAAATAACCGATAGGGACGAAAGATCAGGCAAAGAAGTTAAATAATTGAAAGGATTTTCGAGAGATTTGAATCGATATTATCGAGCATAAGTGTTTCGAGTTGAACAAACTTACATTGAATATTTGATAATGATAAAACAGAATCGACTGTGAATGGATTCGATAGATGTAATGATTTAATTCTATGTTTTTCAGGCAGAAGAATAAGTTTATAGTAATGTTGAAAACTTAATTTGGACATTAATGACAAATTGATTTGAATATGAAGGGGCGAATAAATAAGAAGATTTTCAAATCGTCGATTAAGATTTAAGAAAGCATCGTATGTATGAAAAAAACCGAGAAATTCAATTATTTCATAGATAACTTCATGCGACGTGTCTTCAAAACGAGTGAGGGATTTGCTTAATGATCTAAAACGAAGACGGAAAAATCAATTTGCTAAAAAATACATATCTATCAATATGAAAAACCTATTGGTGATACTTTAAAATTTTCTTCTTTTGCTGTCGGCATCATGATTAGCACTATTGCTTCGTTGACACTTTATTTGTTCCATATCGAATTAATGCAAGTATTGCACTATTCAATCTAAAATTGATCAACAAAACTATTTTGAATTTATAATTAAAATCGGTGTACGTGGATGTTATTCTCTAAATGTCAATGGATTTCAGAGGATCAAGCAAAGCTAATGTAGTTTGCATGATAAATTGCAGGTTGATGGTGTATAATAACACAATACATAATAATCGTATGTTGTATGAGTCATAAGAAAAAGGAGAAACAGAATTCATTGATTACACGACGACAATATTCGATCATATTTTTCGGAACAAATATTATTTAGTTCTATTTTGTGATAGTGATTTTGTTCACTTTTACACAAAAGAAAATTGATTTTAGTTTTGACCGTTATTTCTATTCGAAACAATAAAAAAAAATGAATGTACTTTTTATTTTCTACTTGAAATGGAGACATTTTCTTGTAATCATCGACACGTTTTTTCCAGTATGTTTATTCGATTTTCTCACAAAAATAGTCAAATTGGTAACCGTCTATCGCCTTTTTGCTATGTACGTCAGAATGTTTACAGATATTGATCGAATCTTTCTTCTTAAAAGTGTTGTACAAGACTAGCCCGAATTTGCTTGACTGAACAAGCTTATCGTCAAAGCATTTCAAGAGATCTTCGTAACAATCAAGCTTGGTACGTACGTTGGAAAAGATTCTTGGTAAGAGTCAATGATATTGTTGTTTTTTTGATGATATTGACAATTCTTTTCACAGGAATCAAATGTTACGAGATGGATGAAAATAGTTCAAGATGTCTTTGAGGAAAATTCCAAAAATAATGGGTGTCCCATAGAGAATGAGCCTCTCAGTAATTCGAACATATGTCTTTCAAGTTTCATTACTTAATGTTCGTTTTTTTCTTAAAAAAATCTAGGTGCGTTGCACGATTCTGTCTTGTTTCGTTTTACCAACAAACTTTGCAAAGGATAATTAGTGCCTTCCATGTTTTTGCACCACTATTCAATGATTAGAATGACCTAGCGTGCGATTCGGAAAGCTCTGACAGATGTTCGCATAGGTCTCAGCAGTCGCGCAGGACCTCAGCATCTGTTTCGGTTGTGTATCACATGTTTCGGTCTAGGCTGAGGATAAATAGATAATTATAAAACTACAAAAGTAAATTCGTGAGAGGTTAGATGAAATTAGAGTAATCTCTTTCATTTAACGAAAGCACAACGCATTATTACTGAGTATTTAAAAGTCGATATATTCATTTTGCTCAATCAAACATCCATCCAATATTAACACGATGAAGCTTAGCAATCAGATATTTTTAAGGATCATACTTTATAGCGTTGTATAATAGTCAATGAAAGTTATTCATTAACATATGAAGCAGCCTAAAAAGATTGCTAGGGTCTTATCTATAATAGGAAAAAAATTTAAATAACATACTGCTAGAATAGTATATCCTGCCAAATGAGAACGTTCTCAAAGCCATTCTTCTATGGACTACTCAAATGTATTAATTCATATCGTTTGAATTGGCAAAAAGTCATCCGGTTAACCAACAGTAACACGGTCAATCTGTGGTTTATCTTCCTGAACAAACGGTTCTTTACCACTACCCTCCTGGCCGCGATATCACCCCGTAAGTACAATATTTACAATTTATTTTATATATGAATGTACACTTTAATTTCATTAGTGGATTAGTGATGAACCACAACACTTGATTACAGAAGTTTTTGGTTGCATATCTGCAGAAAACATTTTGAAAAATTGAGCTGCAACTGTGCATTAAAGGCTTAGACGAAATCCAAAAGCTAAATCGCTGAGCGATTTTCTTAAAATGTAAAAGAACTACTCTACAACCTTGATCTAAGTGAATAGAAATGTAATAAAGAGACAATAAATCTGGATTATCTAATGCGTGTAGTGTATCTTACAATGCATTTCTGTAAATAAAAAAAACAGCATGAATAAACATACTAATATTCTAGTTAAACAATGAAAAAATAGTGTGGAACTTTGTTTTACGCGCCCAATATGATTATATGTTAAGTACAGGAGCTATGCGTATTTTGAAAGAGGAAGTCTAATGAATCGTTTTCAGGGTAACTGATCAAGTTTTGGTATAATGGATATGTCCACGATTAATGTTTTTTCAGAAAATATATTGCGAATAGTAACTGAACAAAACCAGCGGTTAACCGCTGTTAGCCGCAAGTTTGAGCTTCAGAATTAGATAATAGACGACTAAATGGCACTTACATATTTGCCTGAAGAGCCATAATGATAAAATCTTTGATGTAGTGCCGTCTACAATCGTTTGCTTTAGATGTGATTAGATTATTTCTGCTGCATTGTTTATCAGATAATAAGCTGCATTTGCAACAGTAAATAAATATAAAAAAAGGTTTTGCAACCAACTATTCCGTCATCTCTCAGTTGTAGTTTGCTCAACAAGAACGAAAAGAAATGCAAAGGTAATAAGTGTCCATATTTTACAAAGTGACAAATAAAATTTAAGAGAATACAAGGTAACCTATAGTTGTTATCATGATGCTTTTACAATCCATCATCATATTGTATTGCTTTGTCCAATACAAGTAATTGCAAAACCACGTGAAATTTAAAAAACAAAACTGTTGTAAACTCATTTTAACGAAAGAAAAGTCCACTAAATACATCATATATTCAACATCCATTCATTCATTCCAAATATCTAAAAAAATATTATCCATATCTACAAAAATTATTCCAACTCTTCTTACATTACTGATAAAACTCGCCTATCGAATTTTTGATCAACTTGATGACTTCAATATTTTGTGCTCGATAAGAAACATTTGCAAACGTATGAATGGAATTGTCAACAGCTATCGTCAATATCAGGTAAAACACTATTATATCTGAGAACTTTACTTTCAATCATCTTTTACACATTTTTCATTTATTTAAAATATTAATCTATGTACCGTCTTACTAAAGTATTGTTCTTGGCTAACCACTCACTAACAGACTGAACCGAACAAATTTGACGACTTGTTGAAAACAACTAATAGTTTTAGTTCCAATTGGAAATTGTGGCAGATAGCTGACAATAGTTACATTTAATTGAGAAACGTAACTAACTAGTAACAACATAACAATCATGAAAATGACTACCATTTGTTGCGATACCAATAACTTAAAGCATCCTAGAAAAGCTTGTTAGCGCAGCCCCTTTGGGGCTGAAATGTGGAACTCACATATGCTCTCTAGACTCATTCAACTGATACAAAATGCGTAAACTGAAAAATCTCTCTTAGACTATAGTTGTTTTGCAGGTAAATCAATCGCAAGAGTAAGAATCTCTCTAAGTTCGAACAGAATGTTTTTTAAACTTTTTTCTATGGGCGCCCTATTTTTTATTTGCATTGTTGCTATTCGCTCATTATTTTTTTATTTTTTTTAATTCGTTTTTCTTAATTTATCATTCTTATTATTATAATCATTGAATTGATT